GTAGTCTAGTAGTAGTAGTCTAGTAGTAGTAGTCTAGTAGTAGTAGTGGTAGTAGTAGTAGTGGTAGTAGTAGTAGTAGTCTAGTAGTAGTCGTAGTCTAGTAGCAGTCGTAGTCTAGTAGTAGTCGTAGTCTAGTAGTAGTCGTAGTCTAGTAGTAGTCGGTGTCTAGTAGTAGTCGTAGTCTAGTAGTAGTCGTAGTTTAGTAGTAGTCTAGCAGTAGTCGTATAGTCGTAGTCGTGGTCGTATAGTCGTAGTCGTAAAGTCGTAGTCGTAGTCGTAGTCGCAGTCGCAGTCGCAGTCGCAGTCGCAGTCGCAGTCGCAGTCGCAGTAGTAGTAGTAGGAGTAGTAGTAGTAGTAGTGTATATAGTCGTCGTAGTCGTAGTCGTAGTCGTAGTCGTAGTCGTAGTCGTCGTCGTCGTCGTCGTCGTAGTCGTAGTCGTAGTCGTAGTCGTAGTCGTAGTCGTCGTAGTAGTAGTAGTAGTAGTCGTCGTCGTCGTCGTAGTAGTAGTAGTAGTAGTGGTAGTGCTAGTGGTATAGTGGTAGTTGTAGTGGCAGTCGCAGTGGTAGTCGTAGTGGTAGTCGTAGTAGTAGTCGTAGTAGTAGTAGTGGTGGTCATTCTGACTGAAATGCGGATGTCGTTCAAGTTCAGAGGTCGTTTTTTCGCCGAGAAATCTTGCTAAATACTGTCCATCGAAAGTGAGCAGCAGCAGCAGCAGCAGCAGGAGCAGCACCAGCAGCAGCACCAGCATCAGCAGCAGCAGGAGCAGCAGGAGGAGCAGGAGCAGCAGAAGGAGCAAGAGGAGGAGCAGGAGCAACAGCAGGAGCAACAGCAGGAGCAGGAGGAGCAAGAGGAGCAAGAGCAGCAGCAAATACATGATGTACGTAGTTAAGGAGGTCGTTCCAATGTCGTTTTGGATGTCGTCCAGAGGGTCGTTCCCCAGCTAAATGACACATTCCACAAAGACAGAACACATCAGAAAAAGCTGCGGCGGTGCGTGGAATTCTGAACGAAGGATCCCACAATACTACTTTACATCAACCCCTCTGTTTTTCTGGCTCAATTGGGTTTGAGTGGGTTTGAGTTCGTTCAAATCTGTAACCGCTATGAAGCTTGTCAGCTTGTCTGAACAGGTCGAACGGAATCAAGATCTCGTCCGCACATGTGTCAAATGTTGTTGGAGTAGAGCTTTTGGCTCTTGAAAAGCATTGGGAGTTACCTTTCTGAGTACTTTTCAGGCATGCCTAGGTGTACTTTCTGAGCTCGCTCGAAGTGAACATCCACCAACTCTTCAGAGGGGCCACTCGCCGCATCCTTCTGGATCCACCCATCCGATCCCCGCTGTCTCCCGTCTTAACCGGCTCATGGCACCTGGGGGGACCCGACCGGTGAACCCGACCGATCGAAGTGAAGCGACTGACTGCGTGGTTGACCGGTCCGACCCTACCAATTGGTTGGTTTTGACTCACATCCGAATCCATTCCAGAGCTCCATTCCGGAGCTCCATGTGGAGCTCCATGTGGAGCGCCCAAGACGTTGCCATTCGACTTCTTTCCAAGGGACCGTTGTGGCCAAGCCGACCAGATTGCTCCATCCGACCTGTTGATTCAGGGGAAACTGGATGAAACTGGTGTCCATCGTAGAGGGTTTGGGGAGGGGTTCATAGACGAGAGGAAGACACTTTCCTCCAGGATGGTAAAGGTCCATCCAGCACGTGCTGGCAGAAAAGCAGTAGCACCCGGGTCCCTCTTCTCAGAGGGCACCGGGTATGGCCAGGTGTCTTTCTAGTAGTCCCCTACTAGTAGCTTCTTGTTCCTAGTAGTAAGGCCAGGAGCCCCTAGTTGCGTCCTTGCTCCTATTAGCGATGCCAGGAGCCCCTAATAGTACTCTAATAGCGCCCTTGCTCCTAGTAAGGCCAGGAGCCTCTAATTAGTAGCTTCTTGCTGCCATAGTAGTCATGCTAGTGGTGCACATCCATCACCTTCTGAGTGCCCAGCTGTGGTGTGAACCTTGACTCGAAGTGCTGGGACGTTCTTTCGGCTCCTAAGACCGACTCCGGCACGGACCGCGGTCGAAACGAACCCAATTCCTGGACCGAGCAAGGCAAAGAAGCAGCCCAAAATCTGCTTGGTGAATGAATGAGTTGTGTCTCACTGTCTCACCGTTCTCGAAAAGAAGAAAAGAATCCTGATCGAAACATGACGCGCCCGCCCCATGTTCTTTGAAAAACTCGGTCCTGGTTGTGAACTGGTGACCCTCCTCGAGAGCTGCCAGGTTGATCTTGCCCACCTGGGACTTCCTGCAGTCGCTGACAGCTCAACTGGGCAACACCAAAGTTTGGTTGGTGTCTTTTGGGGGTGCTAGGCTGCTAGACCCTTTGGTGTTTCCCTTTTCCCTTCGGAAAGAGCTTTCTTGCTTCCAACCAACTCTACGGTCCGATCCATCATGCCTCCAGGCGCTCGGGCGCAGCTCGGGCGTAGGTTGGACTCTCATCGCTATTAGCTTCCTTTTGCTACTTCTTCTTTGTCTCCTGCTCCCCGCGTGCCGCGGTGGCCTTCCGTTGCCCGGCCTTCTGCGGTGGAAGCAATCGCACCATCCGCTCCTCCGTCTTTCCCTGTCCCAGCGAACGGCCCGCAGCCGAACGGAGAGACGCCGACGGAAGAAGACGTTGACACTTTGAGGTCTGTTCTCAGCGCCGCTGAAATTCCGAAGCTCCCAAAGTAACCAAGCACCACTAATCAGCATGAAGGCCAAAGACTGAAAAGAATCACACAGAATCTACAGTTTTTGCCATGTATGGGTGCTTTCGCCGTTTTGTTCGTGGCGGTGGTGCAATTTTTAAGAGCAGTGACCAAAAGGTTTAGTAAAAAAGGGGCACACGGGTACCTCCATGATACTGGCCTGCTTCAGTCAACACTGTGTACAAAATGAAGAGCAATCAGTCACTGCAGTGGCGTCTTCGAATGAACACTAAGACAAAAAGAATTGTCAAACGGGGCCAAACAAAATCGTCAAAGGTTCATCTACAGAAAGGCTTGTCGACGCTTGAACATTGCAGCAATACATCTGAATCTCATTGAACATCACGGATAGAAATTGTCAAAATCCCATCGTTTCTCGGGTAAAACTCTGCAGCAGCTCGACCCTCCAAACCACTCAATGACACTCCCCCCCCAACCACGGCCTTCATCGACTCAGTGGCCTGTTCGATGTGGTTTCGAGCTCGAGGACTCTGACCGAACGTTGGAACAGCGTCACCACTGTTTGGAGACAAGGGACTTGTTGAAGCTGTTTGGAAAAACAGAAAAAGCCGCAACCGACGGGTCATCTGCCAAAATTCTTAGCAAGTAGAGAAAGAGCTTGACACACTTCACTTCTCAATGGGCCATTTCGACCAACCGCGGGAAGCACCACGAGCTGCTGCACTCCGCCACTGACCGACGACCCGCTATGCCAAGCTGCGAGTTTGAGCTGGAGCTCTTGAATAGTGTCCAGGACCTGTCGAGCCATCGCACGTCGTTGGTTGATGTTGATTTAAAGATCAGCCATCAGCCAGTCTTTCTGCAGTTACTGTAACAATCATCTGGATCTCATGTTTCTTCATTGGTTCATTGAGCACACCATAGGCCATCTGCGATCTCTTTGGCTCAAGAGTGGTACTGGCCAAAACAGCCTCCAACCTCCTGCAACGACAGGGAGAATGTTGCAAGCTACAGTAGGAGTCCGAGTATCTGCAGTATCCAGAACTACACCGAAACCCATCCTGAATGTGAACATCATAGTGATGATGAAGTGATCAGAAGGAGTTACATCTATGATCATCTATGGGACCGACCTTTGAGCCTACGCAGCCGTCTCAGCCGTCTTGCGGATGATGTGGGAGAAAAAGAGAGAAATCCATTTCCAATCCATTTCCAATCCATATGAATCCTTCCAACACGAAAGGCTGTCCCAGCTGGTCGATCAGACTCCCCTTCGTACCACCAATGTGGGCGCAGGACGGACCGCTGCGTGGACGGCTCCACCGGAATCACCGTGCCTCGTCCACCGCCTGCGACACAGGGCGGAGGGCCTCTGGCTGAGCTGTGTGCTCACCTCAACGGTCGAGAGCGGAGACCGCTGTGGGACACCGCAGGGGTGTTGAGCACATCACGATTGGCGGTGCCTTTCCTTCGTCCGATGGAAGACCGAGACGATCGGTCGCTGCGAGCGATCAGCCGCAGAAGCTGGCAATGCATGGCAAACGCCACGGGAGCGGCGGTTCGAAAGCCGTTTCAGCGTTTGGTCATCCGAGCGGCCAATGTAGTTCTGAAGCAGTGACACCTGCATCTCCTTAGAGACACGGAACGCGAATGTTCTCAGGCCGGGCACGCGAATGTTCCAGGTTGAACCGAGGGAGATCTTAGACACAACGGGGCGCACCTGGATTCAGAAGGGAAAATCCGGGAACCTCTTTGTTGACCTTGTGCCATTGTGCCAGTGTCCGTGAAGGCTCCAACATTGAATAGGTCAATGAGCTAGAAGAATTGATAAATATGTGAAACTTCCCCATGACATGGTCCCCATCAACTGGCATCACCTCTCCCGACACAAGGAGATAACCTTCCTCACCGCCATCCAACCTTCCGTCCGCGACCGTCCGCCGCGACCTCCGCGACCCTTCGTGGGCGTGGGCAAGGTGCCAAGAGCCGCGAAGAGTCCAACGCAAAGGACCTCACCTCTTGAAATTGCTCCTCGGAGGTCCTCAGGACCGCGGCAGCCGGCCGGCGTTTACCCAAACCCCACCGGCCGAGTTTTTTCGGTGGGAACACGGGTCGCCCGCGGCAACCGGGTCTTTGGGGCGTTTTACTTCATTGTCCCGTCACTTCAGTACAGTGGGGGATGAAGATGATGAAGGCGTTCAACAACGTGGAGACGAAAAAAAAAAAAAAAAACCGTTCGTTTTTGGTCCCAAAAGACTTTGGGACCTTCCACCGGGTGGCCACGGTCGCCAGCGGCGGAAGCTTCGCCCGGGCAGTTCGTACTCGCGGTTCGTGGCAAAATGACATAGAATGACATCATGCAGACAGGTTGATGATAGTTCAACTCCCCATATATGAAGAGCTTTTACAAGCGATGTGCTGGAAGAAGGGAAATGGAATGAAATATATAGATCATTATAGATCAGTCTACCCAGCGAGATTTCGGGTGTCTCCCCATGTTTTCATACACACCCATAATACCCATATCATCAAGAGTCTACACGATCTGCGGTTCTTTTTCTCAACGGGTGAAGCTGTTCTTTCGTGCCCGGATCGGTTCTCTGTGGGACGTTTGGCCCATCGTGGCACCCTTTTCAGAGAACAGCGAACAGCAGTGTCATGGAAACCTCCTTGACTGCCTTGACTTATCAGTGATCATGCTGAGTAGAAACCTCTCCACATCCACCTGGGACCTCTCTCCATCCACCCCATCGGACTCCGAGGTCGCCACGGCATCTCCGTGGGTGCGTTCGACGCCATGACCTGTCGACACCGGTGACCGTGGTGGTGTCCCAACCGGTGGTGAAGCTCTTGGTCATCCTGAAAGAAGATGATTGCACCAGAAAGGTGTTACACGGTTGAACGAAAAAAGAGAAAGTAAAACGGTCACAGGAGCAGAACCGGTGTAAGATTTTGTTGGGTTCTGGCCACAGGTCAAGGCTGCTTGTGCCATGTTCAAGGACTGAACCACTTGGTAGTGATCGTACACCTCAAAAGGGTTTCCAGGTGGAAGCCAACGTTTCACTAAAGAGGCATTGTTCCAGCATGCATTGTGCAAAGCAGTGTATGTAGAACGATCAATCCGCTCCAAATGTGCACTGTCATCACTGGATGGTCCCTGCTTTGTGTGGAACTCTCTTGGCACTCCCACGCCGTGCCAAACTTATCAGGCATACGTTCTGCTTCGCTTGGTGTAAGTTCGATGGAAGAATGACTGAGGCAGCCTGTTCACTCAAAGGGTCTTTCAAGGCGATGTTCCAGTTGGTACCTTCAGAGGCCTCTAGCTAAACTCATCCTAACTCATCTACCCCCTGTTGCAAAGACTTGAAGATCCAGCCAGGATGACCCACCTCGAAGTCCCACGTCGGAAGAGAGGCGCCGTGCAGGGAGATGTGTTCCCGACGCGGTTTTCGTTTGGGGAAAATCTGTGGCAGAGGTGTGCTCTTTGCGGCAAAAAGTCTACGGGTTCTGGGCCGGGATTTCGGCCAAACTCGATTGGCGATGCCCACATGAACGACTCCTTTGCGAAGAACCACTGAACGGCGGTCGCGGGGTTCGCGTTTGGGCTGACTGAACCGCCCTTGTCTGAGCCGGACGGGGAGCGCAGAGCCGCAAAGACCAGAATTCGTCAGCAGAGCACGAATTTGCAAGTACCCCACCCTGAAATCATGGAAGTGAATAGCATGGCCTGTTGGATGACCATTTTCCAAGAACCAAACAGGTGGTTTTCTGCTTCCATGTATGTTCAGATTATTTTCAGAGAGTGTAGTGTGTCTTGGGCGCTGCTCGAAATAGCTCATCAGCTGGCTCAGTGGAGGTCCAGGCTCGGTGATTTCGGGCTACTCATCATCCCTAAGCGGATGGTGATAGGGCTCTCGGATAGCTCTTGCAGGGGCTTCCAAATGTGTTTTCTGCTTCCTCCGCGCATTGACACAAGAAGAGTTGCTCTTGTTGAAGGCAACCTTAAGGATTGAGAGCACCTACATGGAACGTTAGAGAATGTCCTCCCTGATGGTGCGTTTCCCTTGCAAAGGTATTTGATATAATATATGTCTTCGCGACCAGTGCGCAAAGTCTTGAACAAAACCCATGGTCCAGCCTGGCAGGTGTTTGCATCAAAGCTCTCAGGTGGATATGGGGCGTATGAGATCGAAATATGGAACGACCACAAAACCACTGAGTCCAGTCCGGGTCAACCCCGCCAAGAAAGTGCGGGTTGACGTTGGACTTCGACCTTTCGAGGCCGACTCGAACGGAGCACTGGTGGCCATACGACCATGTAACAAGAGGACGCTACGGGTTTATCCAAGATCCCTTCACCGAGTCTCGGCCCCGTTCACGGTTCAACGGCCCGAGGACCCCCTTTTTGGGAGCAGCTATCGGTGCGGCGCCCGCGGCACGCCGGGTGGACCTCAGGACGTTCCGCTGTTGACACCAGCGCATGGCGCCGCAGGCAACGCCACGAGCAACGCATGTGGCCATGATTTCCCTCCCTCGCGCTCAAAGAAAGTTCAATCCTTGCAGATTCTAGATCTTTTGTCCACAAACTCTGGAGTCCACATCAATCCTCCCAGTCTGTGTCTTCCACCTTGCAGATGGCCAGGAACCACCTGAGGGCTGGATGAAGACTGGAACACTCCCAAGAATACACCCAAAACATGGGAGTTCAAGGGACACTCCGTGGGGTTCTTCCCAAAATCACCAAGGTCTGGCAGTTTCACGGTCTTTCACGGTTTTCCGGATGGGTGATGCAACTGGCCACAAACAGAAGCCGCCCACCAAGGCGTCCACTGGGAAGGGCGGCAGGCCAGGTATAGGCCTGGGCTTTCAGCGTCGACCGCACCACGAATCCCAACTCACCTGGTTCCGGCTTGACATCGTCCCAAAACGGGCTCTGTCTAGACAGACCAGGCAGTGGAGCGAGGGAGATCGGACATGGCATTGTTTGTTTGACCCAGAATGGTGGCACAAGCATTTGGTCGGATCGGGTGCGTGTCGTTGCTTCGTGCGGTCGCAGGCGAGGCACGGTTGGTGAAAAGGTAGCGCCAATCCTGGTAGCTGCGGACAGCCTGTGGAGATGTGCTGCGAAGCTGATGATAGCAGTGGAAATAGTTCGCGGCACACATTAAACATAGTTTCAAAAACAACAAAATGAAGGAAGGAAGAAAATAGTCAAAAGATCAAAGGGCGGCCCAAAGACAAATAATTAGAAGAAGGAAGGATTGTAGTCACTTCTCTCCTCGCCATGTAGCTCTCGGGGGTCCACTAAAAGGCGAACTTGAATAGCCCCATCAAGTGATCGAAGACAGAGTGAGCTGTTGCCTGGTCCCAGATTCTCCATCTGATTCAGACTAAGTGTTTTGACGTTTTGCTACTGGGAAGCCATTCATCTTGCTCCCTCCCCCTCTCCCTCGAATGATACATCTTTGGCTCTCCACCAAATAGTTGAGCACTTTCTGAGTTTCTCTTGCTTTTCAAAAGAGGTGGTGTGTAAACATGTGCAAACCACAATGAGTTCTACCAAATTGTACCTGCAAAGCCTTTTTCACAAAAAGGTGTTGAAGTCCCTTCGTTCGCCCAAGTCCATGGCCCATAGCACTTGACCAGCCTCCCATCACCACGGGCAACAACGGCCGTGCCCTGTAGCGATAGCCCGTGTTCAACGCTGAGGGAGACGTCGCGTGAGGAGGTGCGAAGGCTGAAGAATGGGACGAGGCGCCGCTCGGGATGGAAGATCCTTGCATGGGGGAACAGGACACGGGCAGTTCGTTAGGACAACTGTCATTTTCTGTTTTGGGTGCCCAAACGAATCCTTTACAGGTTCTTCCTTGAGCAGCGGACTCTGCCAGCAAGCCTTCTACTTGCCTCCCAGCACCAAGAAAAACACCTTTCTGCAGCACTCCACCCAAGCAAGCTTCCACCGCTCAACCGCAGCCCAGTCTTGGCCAAACACTCCTATTCTTCCGGTCTGTCCCAGTTTCCGAGTGTTCCCCTCCAACCCCAAGTCCATCCCAACTCCCTTCCCTTCGCCGAGGGGCGGAGCCAACGGCATCCCTGGCGACGGAGGAAAACGTGACAAGCAGCCGACGAGATGTCAGCCGAGCTGTCACGGGGTTTCCAATCGAATCCCAAAACTTTAGACATCTTTAAACCTAGAATGAGCCAATGGCCTCCAACCTAGAAGCAATGGCCTCCAACCTACTAGCGCCTCCAACCTGAGAGCGATGGCCTCCAACCCAGAAGCAATGGCCTCCAACCTACTAGCGATGGCCTCCAACCTTGGAATCCGGAAACTAGCCAAATCGGTCTTCAAAGCCAAGCGGAGAGGAAAAACATCATAACGTCATAAGACCTTCAACTTCACAGAGACGGACCCTTTTCCGATCCTTTTGTTCTGACTTTGGATTCGAGTTCTGGAATCCTCCTGTTGGTACACCCACTGGTTTGATTCGATGCCGATATCGGCTCTTGTGTGCACCAGCTGCCAGGTGTCGAGTCCACTCCCGCCTGGTGCCGGCCTCGAAACGACCGGGACGTGTTCGTCACGTCCGAAGATGTCCAAACTGCGCTCGTTCTGGTCAACTTGCAACAAGTCAACCGACTGCGCGTGAGATCATCGAATATCAAAATCAAAGCTCTTATCTGTACTTCTCAAGCTCGGTATGATCCGAAACAGCCTTCACGTTGGCCTTCAGCTTTGATTCACCAACTCGAAGTGGACATGTTGGCCGTTTTTCATGATTCGAGGCACGATCCATTCGGATGGTGACTAAGCATTTGCGGCGCCATCCATTTGGATGGTGTCTAATTAATTAAGCCGCTGCTATCGGACACGCGCATCACGCTGCAGTGGTTAGGTATCCGGGTGGACAAAAGAACAAGTGCACTTGTCATTGCCAATGGCTTCCTTTGGTGAGCGGAGAATGTGCAATTTTGCAGATGCAACAAGTCCAGTGCAACGTCTGTAACTGTCGCTTCCGCATGCGTGAGCGCAAACCCCCAAACCCTGGAGCGCCAAGTCCCTGGGATGACAGATCGACAGCCTTCACTCTCAAGCGTTCTTTGAATTGCGTTGAAGGAGCTGCGGACGGCGCCGAAGCGTGTTTATCCCACGGCAGGCCGACCTCGGGATCGCCTACAACGTACTGTTCAAGGTGCCACACGGACACATGCTTGCTCACTGAAACATGTAGTCTATCCATTCCTCATAGGATATCTGTCCTCAGATCGCACTGGGAACTCTTTTTGCGAGGAAAGCCTACCCAAATATGCCTTCTGTCATGCACAAACCATTCTCCTTCCCCTCTCTTCGGACCTGGTAACCTGTTTTCTTTCTTGTGTTTTCTGGCCAATTTGGACGAAAGGGAAAGAATCACCACGACCGTCACTCGCCAAGAAGCCATCATGGTCCCGATCCATGGCCTCGGCGGATCAGACCTGCACCGTTGACCTGGGTGTCCTGTCGATCCCTGGTCGGTGTGGGGTAGTCCAGGACCCCAGGTCCTGGATGGTGGTAGGCTTTAGATGGACTTCAGAGCCTATACCGTCGTCTGAACGTGTAGAAGATCCACCACCACCAGAGTTCCAGAGTTCCTTCACTCCACCCGCTATCCATCCTCGGGTTCGTTCACTCCGCGCCAAGGCACGCTGTAGAGCAAGGTGATTTTCGTGTCGGTCATGGACTTGTTGAGAGTCCTCATGACCTGCTTTTTCTGCAGCTTCTGGAGGTCCGGAAGGCGGAAAGGTTTAAGCATACGGGCGCATACGTGCATCTTCAAGTCAGCCCGAGCCCGTTGGGAAAGCGGGTCGACCGTTTGCACAAACATGCACAAACTCACTTGCTGCTTACCAAAAGTGTTTGGACCAACACAATCGCCCTAGACCTTCCAGGTTCTCTTGCGCCTTCAGCCACTCCCTATCCCCTGGCAGATTGTGGAAAAGTGGAAGCAAAAAGTTGGTTGCATCTCCAAGGAACTCCGAAGAATTCTCTCTTTGAGAGCTTTCCACTTCGATCTTTGTCCCAGGCTCGGAATGTGGCCTTCGGTGGAAGCATCGGTTCCAGTGGCCAACGGGCTTCGAAACTTCGATTTCCCCGTCACTTTCACGTGAGCCTCTGACGGGTTTCGATTCCGCCACATCCCCCAGGGGAGGGCGGAAGTGAGTGATATGGCATGTGACAATGATAGGAGTCTGATTGCATGTATATCTCTGGCCTTGACCACATCTGCCTGGTCATCACTCATCTGGCTTCCCTGTTCCTGGTACTTGGTATAGAACTCCACAAACCTCAGCATGTCATGGACATACCATCTCAAGCACCAAAAATGGACACCTCCGCAATGGAAAACAGGCCAACGTTCACAGAACATCTGAAGAAAAGACATCAACCACACACCCAAAACAATCTTTCAGTATCACTTTTTACAGTCTGCCATGTCTCTGGCTCACCAGCATACCCTTCTCCTTCCCCATACACGTCTCGGCTTACATCGTATTCGGGATCGTATGGCTCAGCACCGGTGCTGAGGCGCCGGACTCCTCGAAGCTCACCTCGTCGTTCCCGTCGGTGCTGATCTTCTTCAACAGGGCCGTCACCTCCGCCCGGCTCAGCGCACCGGCCGGTCGTTCCATGTTCACCAAGGGAGGAGACCGGTGCGGTGCGAAAAAGGCGCTCCCAATCTGAGAAAACCAAGAGCAGGGGGCCCCCGTCCGCATCAGCCCCCCCTCTTTGAATCGCAAGGCCAAGTCAACTGCCATTCCCCCCCAATGCCCCCCAATCCAACTAAAGAGGCACAAGGGAAGGGCCAAGAGCAGGGGGCCCCAAGTCAGTGAGGGTGCTCAGGGTCTTATTATCAGGCTGTTGGCTTCGAAGACAACAACTGCATCCGAGTTGATCCATCTGAGGCGTCCCACTCGCTGGGTGGTGATCGTTGGGTCGATCTTCCGCAGAAGAGAGGCCAAATCTTGCTTGCCTCGAAGCCACGCGGACGAGGCAACGGCTGGGCTGCGAGCGCTGGGCGAAAGTTCCAAATCCCAAAGAGCCAAACGGAAGGTGTCCCAACCTGTCCGAACCATCTTACAAGGGAGTCTGGAGGTGCTGCAAACTGCTGTTGTCTTCACCCCATGTCCAAAAACTGTGTTTTTTCCGCACCTCTGTGCATCCTCAGGGAACGGGTGAAGGGGTTCCCATGGGTTTCTTCCCCCCGGGTCGCATTCTTTCCCATGGGTTGCGCACCAATCCACCAACCCCGCAACTCCATGGGTGGCCGGTGTCCTTCCCCATCCAACTGGCTTTCCATGGGCTGTTCCAATGATTGCTGGGGCCCACGTGCTGTTCCGAATTCGCGACCGGCCACGTCCCAGAACTTCGGTACGCAGAGATCTCCAAGAGGCTGATGTGCCCCGTACGGCGATTGTCCATCTGTCGATAGATGGAGCGCAGCATATCCACTTTCACCGCCTGGGGAAAGATTGAGAGGATTTTGAAGATAGACCGACATGTCGCCTGGTCTAAGAGGGCAGGAAGATGAGGAAGCTCAGGAAGTTCCTCTGGAGATCTTTCTGCTTGATACTTTGAGCCTTCGGATTTCCAGACTAGATCAGGTCCACCAGGTGTCAATGTGTTCCGGTCCCAGGGCCGCTTCGTTCGAGCCGAGACCTCCCGAACATCGGTTCGGTGCATCGCTTCGAACGTCTCCAGTCTCGGTGTCGCTAATGCGACACATCGCAGACCCGATCGACTCAATTCATCTCCTAAACAGATGGCAAAGTCCGTTTGCTGTACCTCTGGGAACCAATTCTTCGTCAATGGTGAAAGGGGGCAGGAAATCCCTGGAAACCCGTGTCTGCGGCCCAAGTCACACTGACAAAAGTCTGCGGCTGCTCACTGTGTACAGCCTGCCTTAGGAGAGCTCAGATTCTACACGGCAACACACGCATTCGACTCAGTGAGTTTCATAGGGGGACCGGGTAGACTGGTCTGTTTCCCTTCAGGGAGGTCTTTGGCAGGCCTCCTATCTTAATACACATGTCACATCCATATTATGAATCCTTGATCACGCCATCTTTGGAAGCTGCCGGGTCCACATAACACCTGAAAATGCCGCTCTTTTCACGCTGGAGTTCAAGGTCTCACTCGGTTTGGTCGCTCGAACGCTGCTCAAGTAATTCTCAAGAAACGATGAAATTGCCAGAAAACACATCCAGATTGGGCCATTCCAAACATGTTCAATAGAATCACTATCACTACTCCCGACTACTGCAGACACGACTGTTGCCCAAGATGCTCCAGCTTATCTATCAAGGCCCAACTCGACTCTTCGGCCATCGCCATGCCTGCACATCCGAGCCCAAAGAATGAGGTTTCGTGTTGGAACATGTCACCTGTCCACTCCTGTCCCATGGGAAAAGTCACCTATCAGACTTTGTCGAGATGTGACAAACTCCGATCGACATCGACATCGACCGCTCGGCCTCTTTCTGCGATGCCCGCTACCCCCCCCCGCTGCGTGCTCGGGCCATGCAGCGTGGAAGGAGGAAGAGTGGAGGGCCGAGAGGTTCGCTTCTGCAAAAACAACACGTGTTTGTTCAAACGAACGTAGCTCCTGGCATCGCTTCTAGGAACAAGCTACTAGGGTGGAAGCCTTTTGCTATGGGTGGAGGCCATTCCTACTCGTAACAAAGGGCGCCAAGTGAACTTCCGAGAGTTTTGACCGTTCCACGTTTGTTGTTTCTATCGCTGAGCTCTTCGGACACGGCCAGGTTCCCGCACAAGGGCATGCCGGGCATGCGGATGCCGGGGATGCCGGGCACACCTGGGGCTACTAGCTATCAGAGGCGTACATCTCTGCAACCAAAGCTGATACCAAACTCCAGCGACACTTCTTGGAAGGTGTTTTACTGGACACTACCAAACTCTCACAAACCAGCACGATGCTGCCAAGCCTGGCACCAAAGGCCTCAAAAACGCGGGTGAAACCCGTGCTGACAGCAGAGATTGTAGATGGCAGGTCCATTTTCCGAACCACGGTCTACGCAGGAGGATCATGTTCTTGCATATACGGCGCAAACACTACGTATACTGCCTAAAGACTGGTAGGACGACAGATCTGCCTTCTGCGCAGACCAACCAAACATCATCCAACATTCATTATCTGCCATCAATGTGACATTGCTGGCATTGCACAGCGTTCAACACTTATCATACTGGAGTAGATAGAACATGAGCCATGAGCCATGAGCCAATCCAAAAACATGACCAGTTCTCTAATGTGTTAGGATTGTCACGGATTGTCCTTATTCTATATCAATATCTAGTCCAGGATTGTGACACAGGATGACTAAGCTGTTTGTGTTGAGCTCCCAACATCCTGGTGAGGCCCGAGACGGGCACAGGAGGTGAGCCCGGCCGAGGTGTGGCGGGCGGAGGTCCCGGCACCACGCCGGGGGGCACCGCGGGAGCTCTTGCTGGAGCTGCTGGAGCTGTCGCTGGAACTGGCGTGGCAGGTGCTGGTGCGGTTGACGGTGCTGTTGCGGGAGCTGGTGCTGTTGGCGCTGTTGAAGCTCTTGCACCCGGTGCAGGGGCTGGAGCTGGCGCCGCCTGCGTGGCCTGCGGAGCTGCCGGAGCCGCTGCCGTGCCTGTGGATTTCACCACAGGAGCTGCTGCGGGTGCAGGTGCCTCATCGCTACTGGGCGCCTGGCAGCTGATGGGAGTAGCTGGAGCTTGGCCGATGGGAGGAACTGAGCTACAACCAGTACCTGAAAAGACCCTTCCTTGGAATAGGAGCTTTGGCTTTGGTTTTCCAAGTCTGCAGGGGGGCAGCCAGCAGGGGGGCAGCCATGCGGATATCACGGCTGGTCATGGTGACTTACCTGCTCGATTTGTGGATGTATGTGGATGTTGCTAGCTACGTTCCATTCTAGGCCATTGCTATCAGGTTAGAGGCCATCGCTTCTAGGTTGGAGATTCCAGGCTGTTTAGGTCGATGCACGGTCAGATTCTTGCACTCGCCGCTCACTCTCGAAGTTTCTCGCTCGTACTGAGCTTCTTTTGAAACTTGGCCTTAGACACCTTGACCTAGGCTTCTCAGAAAATACTTGGACTTTCCTGGCACCTACATAACAGTGCCTCCAATCACCGTACCTGAGAAGGAACCTTGTTCACCTAAGTGAGCATGTGGCTTTCAGATCGTACGCATATGTACACATCATATCTCGAGTGTTTCATCTTTTTGACACCCAAACCCAAACGGCCTCCCAGACGAAATCCCTTCCCTTCGCAAAACCAAGCCAACGTGTTCGGAAGAGGAACATCAACGGTGATCCGGCTGGGGAAAACCCTGCCACCCCGCTAACTCACGTGTTGCTCACCGTAACTTGAGGCCTCGGTCAGTTCGCTCTCACTGTCACTGTCCGCCTGGCGGAACACCGAAACCCGGCGATCGCGGGACAGTCTTCGACATTTGGGGTGAACGAAGAAGCCGAAGCGAGTGGAGTGGTTGTTCCTCTCAGACTTCGCCGAAGAAATGGGTACCACCGGTACCACCGCAGCCACCAGCTCCGTCACGTCCGAGCCCGCGGAGCCGAGTCGAGCGGCCACACCAGTCGCCGCTCGTATCGCTGAGTGCAACGTTTTCGTCTTCGAGGCTCTGAACCCGGAGACCGGCGTTCGATTCGACCTGGAAAAATGGGTCTCCCCTAGGGATTCAAACGGACCCTCCATTCCGCCGGATCCGTTCCATCGAAGGCCATCCATCGTTTTTGGACCGGATCGCCTCAGCGAGCGCCTCGGCCGCGAGGGGTGCATGACCTGCGAACGCTGCGAGGGCCGTGGTGCTCATCGGATGAGATATGGCTGGCGACACCTGGTCAAACCGGGCAACTGTGCAAGCAAATTAAGTGGACTGAAAGCTCTTTTGGCGTTCTGACTCATAGATACTCATGAGGAAATTATATGAAATTATCGTGCAAGCATAGCAATATAGCAAATATAGCTGCCAACTTTCCAATCCATGCTTGCTCACTCGAATTCCCCTCCATCCACCTTGCCTGCCGTGCTTGGCTTTGACCTCAAGTGCAGGCCAGTCCACGACATCCAATTCCTACCCAGACCCTCCATGGCACTGGTATACCTGGTATATATGCCACAGCTATGCCCACATTGCTCCCCGATCGCCATTGCGGGATGTTAGGATGCTTTTCATGGCATACTACATGGACATATGGTCTACATGTGAACAAAAGCTCTATAGAAAGGCCCCGATGCCCATTCTCTAATATTCACAAAAAGTAGTGGATGATGGTCTTTGAATCTTCCCACGCAAGCCACCTGCTTTCGCACTGGAATTTGCATTGCGACCTTTGCCATTTGAAATGAATTCGCCATGTCTGAGTCCCCACACTTTGGTGACTCCGCCTGCAGGTGGTTTTAAGAGCTTTGGGGTGAGCAAATCTCATGAAATGCAACACATTGCTGAAGCTGGCTGAAGCTGGCTGAAGCATGCCGAAGCTACTATGCATGAACAAAATGATCCGCAGGATTCCCCATCTCCAAAAAAACAGAAGTTAATTTCCAGATATATAATAGAATGATATACCTTGACAAGTGTCCTGTCCATTTCGCATTCCATATTGCCCACCCGGTCCGGCTCCGCCGCCTTCAAGGACTCCTTCACCTTTGGCGGCTCCGATTTTGGCTCCGCCTTGGGCTCGGCCGCCTTGGGCTCGGCTGCCTTGGGCTCGGCCGCCTTGGGCTCGGCTGCCTTGGGCTCGGCCGCCTTGGGCTCGGCTGCCTTGGGCTCGGCAGCCTTGGGCTCGGCTGCCTTGGGCTCGGCCGCCTTGGGCACCGACTGTGGTGCTGAGGACCTCAATAAAAGGCGACGGCAACAAGGCGACAGAAGGGAAAAAGGGAGTAATTCCTGAAAGAAAAAAAGAACTTAACAAGCCAAAAGGGCGTTGTGCTCCACAGAGGGCCACTTGATTTTGGAACCATTTCCGTCGGTACAGCCATCCATTGGGCGCCCGGGCGCTACCGGTCGGGCGGGCGCCTGTTTTTGTGCGGGGACTGGCAGCCTTGGCGCGATCACTGTCGAGAGATGGGCCATGAAAAGGTTGGGAAGAGTTCTTAGGGGCCGCCGCGGCCCCCCGAAAATTGGGATGCAGCCAGAAGCTAGGGAACCTAGGAGGCCACATCTCTGGGGCTTGGAAGGGTACCTAGGCCTTTCCACGATATGGGAAGCGAATGAATTGGAGCTCCAACTTCATGGGAGTGAAACACCGCCGTGCAGACAGTCCCACGCTGACTGAAACGCCGCAGACTGCTGACGGCCACGCTGACTGAGTTCCACGCTCCTTGAGCTGTGGCCAGAGCTCTTGCAAGTGCTTTCTCCGTGCATCCTCCTAACAAAGTCAGAGCTGTAGCGACCGTCTGGCGCCAAACGTCTGGTTGTTTGTCCTTCTCTCGGGATCTGGATGGGCCCCTACCTACAAGTGGACGGCTCTCAGCCAGCGCTACGCTGACCCAGCTTCGCCCGAAGCCCACTTTGGAGCTTCCCCAAAATCTTCGACCATCTTCGCCCGCTGTGTCAATCACCCCTTCCTCAACTCAGGTGATAAGTCCGTCTCCGGGTTTGCTCGGCCGGGAGGCATCATGTACTTGTAGCAAACTCCATCCTTCACCACCACGGCAACACGATCACGCTTCAAGCAAGTGATATCTTCTAAGGGATTGCCGTCCACCAATATGAGATCAGCATATGCCCCGCTCTCAACCACTCCCAAGTGTCCATCCTTGTATGGGGTCATCCCACCACTCCAAGCCAAGACTTTTGCTGCATCTCCCGTTGCTGTCCGCAAGGCCTCTGCTGGAGAGAAGCCTGCCAATGTCACCAGGGTGATGATGTTGTCCGCCTGCCGGTGTTGAGCAATCCCGCCAAACATATCCCCACCGGAGACAATGAGGGGCCGGTATTTGCGGGCATATTCCATCATCTTCTTCGCACCTGCTGCCACCATGCCGGCCTTCTTCTTCTGATCCTTGTTGAAAAAGGTGATCTTTTCGGGCTCCGCAAAGGCTTCCATGGACATTACACATTGCAATGAAATTGCAGCTCCAACATCTGCAATGCGCTTCATGGTTGATTCAGACATCAAGAATCCATGCTCGATGCATCGTACCCCTGCATCAAGGCATCTGTTGATGGAGTCATCATGGTAGGCATGCGCAAGGACATAGGTGCCGTAGTCCTTGGCCACTTCCACAGCTGCCCTCATTTCATCTTCCGTAAACTGGGTCATGTGAATGGGGTCAAAGGCACTTGCACAACCACCACCTGCCATGATCTTCAGTTGTGTGGCTCCATTCCGCAAATTGTTCCGTGCTGCCTTCAACATTTGTGGCCTCCCATCCACAATGTGGGAGAAGCCATTCCGCTCGAGCTGGTCTTGATCGTTGGGTTGATCAAAGCCGCAGCCTGTGTCCCCGTGGCCACCCGTCTGACTGAGGAAGGCACCTCAAGTGAGGGATCCGTGGTGGGGAGGGGGATTGCGAAAGCTCGATTTGCGTCCGAATCAATGAGCGGTGTTTCTCGAAGTCTTCACAATGCCTGGAAGTCTTGAGGCGGATGATTTGCATACGTTGACTGTTCAATGATTAAACCCTCTCTACTTGGGTTGGTCAATTCTTTGGAATTCTTGTTGACTTCTTGCGTTCTCCCCGACCAAGAAGGGAAACCAAACGCCTTCTCTTCTCTGTTCTCCCGGATCTCCCCTCGTCTCCACCGGTGCCCGGCCCGACGAGGCACCCGAGGCGAAGATCCGAGGCCCGGGAAGGCGACCGTCGTTGATGGCCTTGGCGATGCCCAACACATTGCCGCCCGCGTCGCGGCAGGTGGTGAAGCCTGGAAAGAGCACCCCAACACAATTGAGCAGCGCCCGAAAACGACCAGATGGACCAGACGCCCGTTTTTTTTGTCAGTGGGCGTCTGGTGGTTGGGCAGTCTGGAGGATGAAATATACGAATGGAGGTTGGAGAATGCTACTGAGAAAATGTGAGGGACCAAATCTCTGGCTAGGCACGCCTGATGGGACGGTCCAAACAGAATATGAAAACCTGGACCCGCCTTGGAGCAAGTAGTCCACACAATCCTGACCACACATGGCACCCATAGCCATTTGGTCATAAGTGTCACGACCTTCCAGCATACCCTCCTGAATGCACAGATGGCTATGCATGTCAATCAATCCTGGCATCAAGGTGTAGCCGCTGCAATCCACCGTCACAGCGCTCCAGTGGTCCGAACTGATGTTCGACCCAACATCTTGGATCAAATTGCCAAGTACAAGAACATCCTTTGGTTCGGTCAGCACATCAGATCCATCGTAAATCCGAGCATTCTTAAATAGAATTGGCTTCTGGTTCCGCTCCTTGCGGTAGGCTGGAAAGAACTCCGGCATCGCGTTAGGATCTCAAAGTTTGATACATCAGAGCCAGGTGCTACAATGACAAAGAGCAGACCGACCAAGGATAGTTTTTCTTTTCAAGATGTCATGCTCTTTGGAAATTGATTGCACATGGAAGACTCCTGGCTACAGCCAGATTTGGACCCTTTATCTATATTCAAAGGAAAAAGAATCAAAGTGAGCTGATATATGTATTTTGGTCTCTGTTAAAGATTCTGTATGTACTTGCAAAGCACATCTTGTACAACTTCTCCCACCCAAACCATTGCTTTGGTGGTCCGAACTGCTTCCTCCCGAATCTCCTCACGCTCAGAGTTCGTCATGTTGACCACAGGGTCTCCCCAGGCAGATGCGACCTGCATGTCCGGGAAAGTGATTCGCGGACAGAAAGAGAGCACGAACGGGGCAAGGATGGCCTTGCTACGAACGGAGCAAAGGGCATCGCTACGAACGGAGCGATCGGACGCGACTCAAACGGGGCTTTTTCGGCCCATTTGCTGGAACGAACACCGGGCCTCACGCTTGGGTGGTACCCATGCGGCAGCCTCGGAGGCTGAAGCCCGGAGTCCAACTCACATCACATCACTTCACATCCAAACAGGGAAGAGGAGCCTAGATGCTATAGGTCCAGGTTCTTGCCACGCGTCAGGATGCACATGAAGCCGTTGCTACGTAGTAGAAGCTGTTGAGTCTTCAAATTCTGAAAGCATTTCTGGATGAACATTGAATTCTTCATATTCTCATTCACCCTCCCCACCAAGTAAGCCTCTGTATAGCACCGAGTAGGGACCCTACAGAAGAGTCTCTCTGCCCCCCCAGACTCGTCTGATGGAGGACTGCCCAGCAGTTTTCACAGCTGAACCTGCCTCCTTCTGTGACAACATCTTGGCAACGCGCGCCGCCGCCGCTGTGGTGCCTCAGGTCATTTTTCCTGTAGGTGAGACTGAGATCTTCAGAACTCTTTCAAAGGGTGTGAGACAGGCGGAAGCCTCTGTGGTGAGCTAGCCTTTTGGATTTCAACATGCCAGAAATCCAGACATGGATTGTGGCTCTCCCGTTTTTGGATGGTCACTTTGTTTCTTGGAGTTCTCTGATTCCCAATATAAAAGGATAAAAATCCGGAGCATCGCAGTTGCCCTGCTCTTCCACTTCACTTTTCAAATCCAAACCACCCGGTCCCACCCGGTGGATCGAGGATCGGGCGATTCCCCTGGCAGACGGCCGAACGGAAGGCGAGCACGGTGCAGCACACGGAAGGCGAGCACGGTGTGTTTGGGGATTGCATGATGTTGAATTCACTAAGACTTCATGACTTCATAACATCATGCAATCCCCAAACATCACTAAGAACTTCACTAAGAGTGTCTCCATAACATCTTCATGACTTCACTTGGAAGTCCGAAAAGGGTCATGCTTAGACTGCCCTCTGTTCGGGTTCATGGATTCCTAACAAGAAACAGCTGCCGTAGCTGCCAGAGCGTGGTGGGCGAGGGGGAACTCCTCCGATCAAATTGTCCGCTGCTCAACGATTCTCTTCCCCACCACGCGCGCGCGAGCCGAGCTGCATTCTTGCTTGGATGTATTCACAAATCAGCAAAGGTGCGCGACTCAAATCTTGAAGGGGGGACAAGCAAGAAATACAAAGAAAACATCTCTTTCAGGGATATTTTGGCTCGTTCTCTTCACAATTCTCTTCAAAATCTTGATGAGAGTATGTGCAATCCGGGTCGCACTGAAATTATGAAAAAAAACATGTTGATCTTGGATCCACGCCGACCTTCCGAGACGCACGGCACCGTTCGCCTTGGCCACGCTCGCCTTGCTTTGAACGGGCGGCCTCGCGGCGGGACACGCGGACGGTGCGGGGCAACTGGGCCTGGTGAAGTGACTCAACTGTTCGGCAATGCGGGTGGAGATGGATGAGTCAATATTGGATGAAGAATCATGAACGAACAATCAATCAACAGTGGAGATGGATGAATATGATGAATGGAAGATCCATCCATTGTTTTCAGGCTGGCTTTCAGACTCACTTGTGGCTTGGCAAACGGGTCAGTTGTGCGTGAGATGGTGCGATTGCAGCTTACAAGTACAGTACAAAATAATACAATCCCCAAAACCAAACATGTAGGAGGCCCGCAAGAATCTGTCTTGGATAGTCGCAAGCATTCACTTTGTACAACGGGTTCACCTCAGATTCTGGCGAAACAATCCCTCCCTCGCAAGGAACGCCAAGGATGGCATTCCCCGCAGCTTGAGGAGCTAGATGCGTTGCATCGTCGACTCTTCGTCAGAGGAACGAAGAGAATGGACGGAACATGTGGCAAAAGAACGCAGTACCAAATCTCTGTCAACCCGCACCTCCAGGGTTCATTCTCAGCCTTGCGAAGTGGAAAGTGAAAGAAGAGCAAAAGCAACTGTTGAGCCTGGGGTTGTATCATGTTGTGTCTTGAAGCACCCAGGTTAGGCCAGGCTTCGAGTTCTTTCATGTTGTCCTTTCTTTCTCCATGTGCTCCCTCCAATTGCTCAGGAACTCGTATACAGCAAACCGCTGGTTCGCCGGTTCACGCTTGGACCGCGCCCTGCCTTGCTGGACCGCGCCCTGACAGAGCACAAATCGCCCTCCGAATGGCTGGATGACTCAGGTGGAAGAGGGTTAGGTCTCTAGTCGTGACCTCTCTTCAGAGGGATCTAATTAAAGTATATTAAAGTGACCCTCATCCGATCTCAAGTTCACTTTGAAGATCATGTGGGGAGACATGTCCTCATGGTGTTTCATTCCCCTCCCCCGAGGTCCCCGACGGACTGGGCGAGGGCGAATTGGCCTCATAGGCCTGGACGTGACAAGGCGCAGCGAAGACGAGGGAGCGCGCTTGGCACAGGTGGTCGGGGTCTGAGGCAAAGAGGTGTTGTCTTGCTATATATATATATGTATTTAAGCATGTGAGATTCAAGACGTCCTTGTGAATGCTTGTGGTTTATGACCTACAAGCCTCAAAGTCAAGAAGTTCTTGTTCACGGCCACGTGCAGCAAGGGGTCCGAGGTCGAAATCCACAAGTTGGCAGAAGTGGAAGTAGTGGTTATGTATACCACTCACAGGCAGATCCACTCCGAGATGTTGCGGACGAGTACAAAGTCCCATTACCCTGGTGTCCAAACCCAACGGCTGTCGGTGTCCAACCCAGTCGGTCGAAAAGCCCGTCAGCGCCCAGGATCACCCGTCTTTGCTCCCTTCGTAGCGATGCCCTTTGTTCCTATATAGTAGCGATGGTCTTTCCATGCTGAGAGACTGTTCGATTTCCTGGCCTCTTCGAAGGGCCACTGGATCTCGGGTTCCGGCTCCTGGCGAGAAGGAGCGTGGAAGGCTGTCTGAAGAGGCTGTCTGAAGAGGTGTTTCAGATGGTGTTGGTTAAGTTCATTTCTTCTGCTCAAGAAGCAGCTTCAAGAGTTCCCTCAATTCGGAGACGTACCAGCAAGGGCAGCTGCAAGCCCACTGCCTACCCTAGAATGAAAAAGGTCAAACAAGACGAAGCAAAAAGATCAAAAAGGATAGAAAGAAGTACAGAAGCCTGAATCGATCGGCCTCAATCTGTCCACAAGCCAGTCTGTTCAACGCACGGCACGCTGAACACGAACGCGTCGCGCCTCTTTCTTTGGGACCTTCGTTCGGTCATGGGGTCTCCACGGACGGCGTGAAGCATGGGGCGACGGCAGGACGGCACACGCGAATCGTCCGTGAACCGATGCGCTGAAGAAGCGACCACGATGGCGCGAAAACGGAACATCTGGTCAACAGAGAAAACGGAAAACCCTCGCGGAACTTTGGGAAAGGTGTATATCAGGTTTGGAAATGCCCAGAGAATCTGATCCCTCCTGTCTCGCACATCATGGGGGCCCCAGAGTCGGAGATCACAAGAGCTGACAAAACCAAAGACAACCGGAGTCGGACACTTGGGCTCTGACAAACCTCTTCCAAAAACATCCAACACGTGGCCTTTGGCGCCACAAAACTGTTTGGGACCGCTTCCAAGCTCCACCACTGCCACACCCACCGAGAGCCATGCTGGAACCTCGGGCCTGGCAGGTTTCAGAGACGGTTTCCCCATGGATGAGTTCGTGGCGGAGAGTTGTCCACGCGAAAATATCATTGGAAAAAGGACATCACTTCGATCATCTTCGATCGATGTTGCACACATCTACGATGCAGATGGTTTGTAATCTATATAGAACCTATAGATAAAGAATGATAAAGATCCAACAGCAAAAGCGATGGGAGGTTTGGCCTTTGATCTGATACAATATGTCTATTGGTGTAGCTCCAGAAGCTCTTGAGCCTTGAGCATTCAAAAAGAATCCGGACACCAACGGGCGCCGCGGCGCGCGGCGCATCCGTCGGACCGCTCGACTCGTCGCCTGGGCTCTGAGATCCCCTCGATCGTGGCCTGATTCTGGTTCGGAGTGTTTGGTTTGAGCGTGGAAATCACCAGAAAACAAAAACCCGTGACATGGACTGCTTCATGGCAGCTGAAAAACACGGACTCCTGAACTTGGACTCAACTTGACTTGCACAGGCAGCTCTGGCAGCTCTGTTCGGCCTCTCCCTTGATACCGTTGCCAGGCGCCTGACCAGTGTTATCCACCCACCCGCACTTCGGATCTTGTTGAAAGACACGTCATGGTCCGTGGTCTAAAAACCAATCGTCGGGACTTCGAGGTCCTCACGTCGGGACTTCTGCAGTGGAGCGCAACATCAGGACAAGCTTCCCATTCCCCTCTTAGAATCCATTCGCAAGCGAGTGCATCCAAACAGAGACCAAAGCAATCACCTACCCCCGAGCGAAATGTCGGGAACACCGGCTCCAAGCCAAAGCACGACCTCCAAATCGCCAAACGTTGGGGAGGCCTCCAGCATCGGCTCACCATACTTTTTGCACACGTGTGCATAGACCTCGCCCTCCGCACCCGCGTACCTGGCAACGTGTGGCACGCGGCA